AAAAAAAAAAAAAAAAAAAAAAAAAAAAAAAAAAAAAAAAAAAAAAGAACATGTGAGACAGCTCTAGGAGAGATTTATTAAAGAAAACGAAATTTTCAATGCAAATGAATACACTCAGAAGTGATTTTGACAGTTGGAAAGATTTTGGAGTTCAATATAACAATAAGTTTAAAGGAAACTAACAAAATGGCAATATTTGACTCCAAGAAAGATAAACATTTGGGCAAGAAAAGGCAAGTATTAAGAATAAATTTATAGCTTATCTGCAAATCTTAACAAAATAAACCTTGACTACTGATTTAACCAAAGTTGTAATTGAGAGTTAAGGGGATTTGTCTGTTAAAAGTGGAGATGGGGAGGAGGTGTTGGTTGCTATGAGAGGTTAATCCTCTGTGTTCATGGTGGGAAGTCAGTAGATAATGCTAAAAATGGAAAATGTAGCTGTAACCATATGGTTTGGTGATTTGAACTCAAAGGAGTGTGAAACTTTGGAATAAAAAGAGTTGCCTTTGGAGGGTTCTATAGGCCTTGGATAAATATATCACTCTTTAAATCATGAGAATGAATAACTTTTATAAAAATTACATCAGTCACAGATGATATAATCTTTAATATGTCTACCAGACAAGCTAGGAGTATAACTAGTGGCTTGTATGTAATATCTTAATTTGCCTAGATAAAAGTGAACCTGACCCAAATGTTGCCATGAAAGTCGTTGGTTCTTTATTTACTATGTCTTCCCAAGTAAGATTTTTGAAGCTAAAGCACCACCAACGTATCCTGCAGAACTAAATACTAAACCTATATCTACTAAATATCAAGTTGCTATGATTTTTCTTCATCTTTTCTCTTTTGGAGAAAACTTAGGGCCTTCATGTTCATAGACACATATGAACAGATGCTTTCTATGAGTAACTAGTAAGATGAGCAATTTAAAAAAATTCCAGAGTCCTAGTCTGTGTTGAGACTTTAGGTTTAGGGTCTTTCATTAGGACCGCAGAGGATAACTGTTTCCTGAGCATGTTGGGACTAGATCATTTCCATTAATTCACGTGTCTTGCGCTTGTAAAAGCCTAAGACTTTTTTAGAGTAGGTGGTGGCTCACTAAGGGTGGAGTCAGGATTGCTAGTGAGATTTCTTTAGCTCCAAAATACTTTTCTTCTCTGATGATAAATGAAACCCTCGTAAGTGAGGATTAATTTTTCATAGAGATAGGGTTTAATGTTGATATGAATTTAACTGTTTGCAGATACATTTGAAGTAGATTTTGACAAGGGTGAGGTTGAAGAATATACAATGATATTGTTTAGGCTGAAATCATTTTTCTTTAACTAATTTCAGTTTTATTTCAGGGTGATCGTGGACTTCCTGGTTTTCCTGGGCTTCATGGCATGCCAGGATCAAAGGTTGAAGAAATATGTTTCTTTTAAATATAGCAATGCCATTTTAAATTCAGATTTAAAGCACTTTCATATTGCAAATGTATTATAAATAAATGTTCATATATAATTAAAGATAAAGGAAGCAATGAGCTAAGATTAATATTAGTTTATATAAAACTTAAAAAATTCCCTTTAAAGTTTCCACTTATAAATGTATGATTTCATAGTATTTGAAAATTAATGTTATGCTGTATGCAAGTTTTCTGAACTATAAGCCTTATACTCTAAGCCCTGTTATAGTACTAAATGTTATTTTTTAAAAATTTCCCTTATAAAGCCTGGAAATGAGGGCTTTTTAAAACAAACTTTAAATTATTTTATTTCTGTTTTGTTTTGCTTTTGGCATATTAAACCCTTTGCTTATAATCTGTATTTTTCTTACAGATAAGAAAAATATTCATGTTTCTTTAATCTTCAGTATTTATATTTTTGTCTTGTAGGGTGAAATGGGCGCCAAAGGAGACAAAGGAGCACCTGGATTTTATGGCAAAAAGGGACGTATAGATCACACAACAAAGTATTCATATTGACCTTTTAACATAATGGAAACAGAAAACTTGAATTGCAGTTCCAGCCCAACATTAGAGCAATTAGCTTTGTTCACCATTCTTAGGGGATTAATTCAGAACAATGAAAACAAACAAAACAGAAAAAGAACTGGTGACTGCAGACCGTAAGACTATGCTTTACTGTTGATCATTCTGAGCTTTTAAAACTTTTACAGGCTGGGAGCAGTGGCTCATGCTTGTAATCCCAGCACTTTTGGGAGGCTGAGGCAGGTTGATCACGAGGTCAGGAGTTCGAGACCAGCCTGACCAATATGGTGAAACCCTGTCTCTGCTAAAAATACAAAATTAGCCAGGCATGGTGGCAGGTGCCTGTAGCTCCAGCT